AAATAAAATTTTTAAATAAATTTATTTATAAAATATAAGTAATAATGAAAATTAAAATTATAATATAAATTATATAATTTATATTATAATTAATTAGGTTTTGTCTTTTAGAAAAAAATTAATAAATTATAATTTTATTAATTAGGTCTATATATTTTATATAGATTATATTTATATATTTATATATATAAAAAAAAAAAAAATGTGGTGTTACTGTTTAATAATGGGATAAAAATTTACTTTTATTTATTGTTGTTGTGGTAATTGTTATTTATATAAACGACTCTCGCAAAGGCTGTAGGTAAATCTACCAGGGCGGTGATACGTACCCAAACGGCTTGTCACGGCCATATTGAAATCAACTAGAGAAACGGACTTAGAATATGAATAGAAGATTAGACAATGAAGACTAAAGACTTATGAAAATTGTTTTAAGAATTATTGTTTTATTGAATAAAACTATTTGAAGTATTAATATGTTTTGTTGAATAAGATAATAGACTGCGGTTAAGGGTAAAATGGCTGCAGTAAAGCTGTGGTTGTCAAAAGAGATTTATAATTCCGGAACAGTGGCTGGATTAGCACTCACGACCATGCTAAAAACCCAGACACCTTCTGCATGATGTCCACAGCGTTTTTTTGAGTCATCAATCTGAACGTGATCCACACTATTACCGGTTGTTAGTGAGGGGAAAAGGTGTTAGTAGTAAGGTCAAATGCAAGTTTTATAAGTAGAATTTGGTACTGTAGTGACCATCGGATCTTAATATAAGATCAATATAAAGCAACATAATGCTAAGTCTTGTGAGATAAAGTATAAAGTAAAATAAAAAGGTTATTAAGCAATTGGTGCTAAAGATATAAGATAAAATAGAAGTTATTGTGATCTGAAGATAAGGTGATTCTTAGATGTTGTTTATTTCATGAATAATTTGGGGATATTTATACTGTTTGTATATGTAAATATGCAATATAAAATATATGATAAATGATAAATAATAAATAATATATGATATATGATATATAATAAATCATAAATCATAAAAACTTGTATAAGGCATGCAGAGTACAAGACCCCAAAAAGGGTATCAACACCATGAACGCCTACGAAAAGGATAGCAATTAATATCGCATAAGGTTAAATATGATATATGAGAGCCTTACCAAGCATTAAAAGGGGTTGTGTAGAAAAAGATCGCTCTCAAAGACGACAATCAAATCGCGGTATAATTGGCCAATGATTTGATAGTGAATGGATAAGTCCCTGTAGATCCTGGAGAATCAGTCTTGGTTCATAGTCACGCGGAAGATAACCTTTAGAGTAATCCGAATGTCGCATCTCTTCTGATGAAACGTAGATCCTTTCGTAACGGATTGCGAAATTTTGCTTCGATGAGCCGCGCGCGATTGTAGCAACAAAATTGGCACTGATTACGAGATCCTCTTCACGGAAAGGATCATGCATAAGTTCATTGTATTCAAAAGAATGCGTATAAACAGCTCCAATCTTTCTCAAGTTCTTCAATTTCTCGTGAATTTGCAAAATCTCGTCTCTTTTTTGGGGGTAATATTGAAGACTGCTAATTTTGGCCTTGATCGTATTCTTTAAACGTGAATTTAAATACGCTTCTTTAAAAGCAGAATGAGCTTCTACTGTTATGCAAGAGATAGAGATTGGTTTGACCATGTTGGTGGCTTTAAACGCAAAAGAAAATAGTCAGGAATCGAGTGAATGACAACTTTTCTTCGCCCAAACATTAATTCAATCTTCGACTTCATCGATTTCTATATGGTGCCCTAGCCTACTCTCCCACCAAGTTCTAGCTTATTGTATTTTTTTCATTGCTGTAATAGTATCTTTCATGCCAAAGTATCAAAACGTAACACCCTTGAATTTTGCAGATAAAAGAGAAAAGATGGGTAATGGATATATATCGAAAAGCAACGTGGAATATGCCAATGTTACTGAAATCAGAATAAGGGTCTCATCGAGATCGAGAGAAAGGGAGGATAATTATAAGCCCCTTCCTTTCTGTTTCATCATAGACTTCAATTTAAAAAAGTAATTAAAGAGTGATACATTCTATTATTAAAAACAAGTGATACACATTTTATATAGAAACAAAAGGGTAAAAGGAAGGTGTATATTAAAATTTATAACCTCAAAACTTTACATGAGGTAAGCAGCAGCAGCAAAGGCAGCAACGATCAAGCTGTTGGGGTTAATTTGAATACCAGCAGAGACAGGAACTTCGGCCTTGTTAGCAGCAAGAGAGATGGTGGTGGTACCAGGAGCATCAGCGGTGGCAGCGGAAGAAGCGGCAGGAGCAGCAGGAGCAGCATCAGAAGAAGCAGAGGTACTAGAAGAGTTGGCGCTAGAACCGAAAGGAGCAAAGCTGACAGTGTGTTCTTGGTAAGGATAAGTGATGTTCATGCAAGTGGCGACATCAACAACGTTCTTGTAAGCGGCAGTGATCTTGGGCAAGTATTCTACAGCGAGGCTCATGGTAGTGTTGTCAATTTCGTGAGTCAAGACGATTTGACCACTGTTGGCAAAAGTACCGTTGGAACCCATTTGAACGTAAGCATCATAAGTAGCCTTGACTTCATCGACAGTCTTGGAAGAACCAGCAGCCCAGTCATCAGTATCGAGGTTCCAAAGAATAGTGGTTAAGTTGAGTTGAGTAGCGATCCAACGAACACGATCATCGACATCACCGAAAGCCTAATGTATGTTAGTATGTTTTTCTTTTTTTCTTTATAAGAGAAACTTACAGGACGCCAGTGGAGAGGAGTAACACCAGTAACCATCTTGATAGCCTTTTGAGTATAGTAGAGTTCGGCAAGGACTTCTTCATTACTCAAAGTAGTCATCAATTGGTGAGACCAGGTGTGGTCAGCAATATGATGGCCAGCCTTGACACCACGTTGAGCGCCGTAGGGCCAGTTGACGACGTTGGAACCAATGTAGAACATACTAGCCTTGATCTTGTTTTGCTCAAGGTAGTCATAGAAAGCATTGTGAGAACAGTTGGGTCCATCATCGTAAGTAAGACCCCAAGTTTCAGGTTCGGGACAAGCGTAGATATCTTCATTAACATCCTTATGCTTGGGCTTGGTACAGGTGGAGGATGACCACCAACAGTCAGGATCACTGTCTGGATAACCGGTCATGTCAACGCCACCATCGGAGGTCTTCTTACGAACGGCAATCTTAGGAGCTTTGGTCCAGTCAATAGACTTGTAAAGAGCTTGGAACTCGGCAGTCTTGGTCATACCGTTGGAAGTGGCAGTTTCCCAAAGGTTAGGCCACTCCTTGGCATTGTAGACAAAGTTGGAAGGAGGTTCGTAGTATTTACATTCATCAGAAGGATTTAAGGAAGTGGTTTGGGCAATAGCGGGAATGGTGATGTTGTTGGGATCAACCAAGGATTTGAAGTTCTTCCAATAATCCTGAGGCTTTGAAAGAGTGCTGTTGGACTTGGAGTGGGATGATGACTTGCTCTCAGAGCTCTTGGCAGCTTCGGCTAATCCGGCAACGTGCAAGATGGCAATTGCAAGGGCAGAAGTCTTAAAGTACATCTCTTTAAAAAGGAGTGTAAGGGATAAGTAAAGAAAAAAGGATACCGAAATGGAGAGAGAAGGATGAGTTCCTTTTAAACAGAAAACTTTGAAGCGGAATCAAATTTGCTTTAACACGCAGCTAGTATTGAGTTTATTTTATCCATTTATTTACAATTTACAGCGTGTCACAATATAAATGATCCATGAAGACGCTTTCCTTTTTTTGATAATCTACCTAAACTAGGCAAAAAAAAGGTGAATCTGTACTTGGTTTCCTTGGTGAAATTATCTACTTTTGTACCTAAAGTTCTTGTTCTGGGAATATAATTTTCTGCGTGCATTCATAAATGAACCTGAGCTGCTGTCATAGGTAACCATCAGAGTTAAAAATAGATGCTCACATCTACTCATTATATACAGTTTAATTAGACAAAATAATAGACATCTTCTTTTATTCCTCTTTTTCCATTCAATGCAGAATGCAGAATGTTGTCTATATTAAATAATAAGAAATAGTCTAAAGTAAATGAATAAGGAGAATAAACACAATGATTTGTCCGCGATCTACTCAATCGACGTTCATTTCACCGAGGCTTCTTTTCACTCTTGTACAAAACTTATTAAATAAACTAAAACCTTGTAATTCATCAAAAGTACCGTTTTGTCGTTTGATTCTATACCATTGCCGATCTTTTATCGTCTTTGCGCCTGTTGCTTGTTTCTTTTTTTAGTCAAAGAAAAAACTGGTACAACAACTGTTTATTAAACACATTGTTTCTGATGAAGCATGTTTCACGAGCAACAGAAACGACTGTGTACTATACAGTCTCGCCTCTCATTCATAAACATATGAAATGATAGTCAGACTGACAATAATTACAAAAAGTCACTGGAAATAGCTCACTCTACATATAAGAATTGCTCACAGTAAATACTAAACAGAAACAGAGCAAATATTGGCCATATCGATCAGCCTTTTCTTTTTTTTTTTTTTTTTTACTTTCCTGATCGAAATGATTATCATTGCTGTACTCTAATATAGTAAATGTTGATACACTCTATGTAATACATTCTATTAGACCTTTTCCCTCTTTGCATGATTAGTCAACGATCCTTTATACAGAGACACTTGGCTATTTTTGATATTGCAATAAAGCGACTTGGAATGTAAAACCCTTGTTACTCTCCAAAATGCTTAGCTGTACCTATTTAGGCACAGGAAACATATAACGTAATAAGAAATATCAATACAATAGACATCTAACACGCTATTTAAAGGCTTGAATGCTGGCTGCATCACAGCAGAGAGAAAGAAAGAGGGAGGAAGGATCGTTCCCTATATGTAAAAAAAACTTCCGAAGAAGGGAAAATGTACAATGGACCTATGAATCCGTCTGTCAGGGCATGTATGATGATGAAAGAAGATGGTGAAAGTTGATATCAATCGAAACCCTGTCAATAGCATTGCAGTAAAGGATATTTATGCTCCATTTCTTATAGGTTGAACATATGCGCAGTTTTAATTTATTCTATTGCTGGCTAAATGAAACTGCCCTATTCTTCATCTACTGCACTCTAAGCACTCTGTTTCCATAATCATCGCGTTGAATACTGTATAATGCGTTATTAAACATCACAGGGCCCATGATGTATTGAATGAAGGTACTCTTTACAGAGAGCAATCATAATGGGATTAGATCAGATTGAAATTATCGTAGGATGAACTCAAAGGATGTCTCTCTTCCCCAATATGTATTGACGTATTATTCTTTTTTTTTTTTTTCCTGCCAGCTAAACCCCTAGGGCCTATTATATATAAATAGGAAGTATTTCATGCTTTCTTATACATTACACTTCTTTCCTTTTTCTCTCTCTTTCTCTTTTTTGCTTTACTTACGCGCACGCGAAATCTATAATGGAAACTTCAATTCAACCCTCCGATAACGTAGTTATAACAAACGACTCTGCCAAAAAGACTAAACGTAAAGATAAAGACGATAAAGAGGAAAAGCCCTTTCGCTGTGTCGGTTTTGGTGATTGCTCAATGGCCTTCACACGGCAGGAACATTTAAATAGACACAAACGAAGGCACACTGGCGAGGTAAAAAAAGAAGAAAAAAAAGTCCGTTTCATCTTTACTCATTATTCAATTTAGAAACCTTTTCCCTGCATTGTCGAAGGATGTACGCTTCGGTTCTCTAGGAACGACAACATGAGACAGCATGCTGAACGATGTCCATGCAGAAATCCAGATGGTGAAGGCACAAAGCGTAAAAGATCAGTTAAAGGCCAACCACGATCCGTAGGCCGAAAGAGAAAGCTTGCGCCTAGGTCTAATCCCGAACGAGCCTCCAAGAAGGGCAAGTCTTATCATGAAGATGATGAGTACGAAGAAGGTAGCCAGGAGGAGCAGCCCAAGGCTCCATTAGTCGTTCAAAATGGTTCATCTTCATCTACTGACACCGAAATGTCTCCTTCTCCAGGCCCAATTGAACCTTCACCCTACAGCAATCGCGTTCGTGCAGCCCCTCGGATTCTTTTCTGTTCGTACGGTCGCAACGGTCAAGAGATAGATTTTCAAGCAATGGTGCAAAACTTTTCCCTTTTTGCGCCTAGAAATGCAAAGCCGACTAGAAGGCTCTCATTACAAGAATTAGCCAGTTCAATTGATAGATTAGAAGAGATCAGTAGTTCAAGTAGTTCAGAAGAAGATTCGAATGCAGTAGGAATCACAGAAGATGAATATGAAACTCTCATTGCTATAAGAGAACTTCATAGAACTCCTTACGTTCGCGAATAAAATCATGCAAATAAAAATCACTTTTTTTTAAACCAATCTACTTGGTTTTAAAACTAAAGGTCTTTTTTCAAGGATTTCTAAATATTCCTACTGGCTTTTTTTTGCATAAGAATTGAGTAGTTCTTTTTCTTTTGGGGAGGGGCACAGGATAGAAGCATTTATCATGAATGTTATGAACGTTTGAATCTTTTGATTCTTTAGATCATGTAATAAGATAGTAACAAATAAATGAAATCAAGGTTGATCCAGGAACAATAGGTTTGTGTCGCGTTGGTTACTAACCAAATAAGTACATGCAATTTTATTAAAAGTATTGAATGCGTTGGGAGGTATCGCTAGTTCTCTGCCTGTCATTGTCGCAGGAACGTTTTCAGTCTGCTGGCTCATTCTTCGATCATTTTTTACTGCGTGTATCGGAAAAATTGTTGATTGTTTTGACCAGTTTATATAATAGGCATTGATCAGCACAATACATTAGTTGTGGCTCGAGAAATGATAGCAATGATTACTGACTGGTTCAATTGACAATCGTTTGATTGGAAGAAAAAAAACGCTTGTATTTAACTGGCAGCATGCCTGGATCACACAAAAGAAGTGAACCAAACTATATTTGACATTGCCAGATCAATATCATAAAAGAATAAACTAAAATGAGTTGACTCTAGGCTAAAAGGAAAGTAGTACTAGGGAAAGTCTTTATATTTTTATTAATATCGAGCAGAGCCACCTTATACGTATATTCCTCTAAATGCTTTTTCTTTTTCCCGTGGGAGGAATTTCTATCATAAACACAGCTGTAGGCAATGCCTGTCAAAGGAAGGATTAAACAGGAGTGCTGTAATCAATAGGATAACGTTTTAAAAAGTATTATGAACACCTTGATACTCAATAAGCGCCTTCTTCCACGTATGTTTAATAGAATATATCTTGTACTAGTTTATCTTTTATGACTGAATATATCATAACGAGAAATTTCCATTTGTCAGACGCAATGACAAAATTCTTACTTTATTCTGCATAAAGAGTGAGCATGTAGTACAGCAAAGACTAATAGAACGAATGTGCCCTTCGATGACAACAGTTTGTTCAACACGCTTAAATGGTACCAACTATAAAAGGAATAACTAAAAAAGTGACATATAAACATCCCCCTTCTATTCTAGATGCAACATTTAATTTAAGGGGATGAAAAAGGGGGAGATAACTGGCAATAGATTTAAAGAGAAAGAAAAAAAGATATGAATAGACAGAATAGGATGTTTATAAACTGGATACCATCATGATGATGTGATTGTTAACAGAGAAAGAGAACGAGAGAGAATATAAGGTGACCTCTCTTCCTTCTTTTCCTTTTGCTTAAAGCCGGCTATGATGTAAGTGACAAATTTCCATTACGGAAAGAACTATAAATGACGGGAAATGAACCCTTTTTTTCTTTCTATTTTACCTTTTTTTTTTTTTCTTGTCCTTTTGTCAAAATGAAAGCTACCTTCTTAGCCCTCGCTTTTGTTCTTCTTGCTCTTTTTGAGTGTCAAGTTCATGCTATTTGTTCTTGTAATCCCGAAGATACAAAATGTCTCGAGAGATGTGGTAAGTTATCACAAAATAAAATAAAGAGAACGCGATTCTAAAAGGCATATTATAGTAAGTAGCACTCAAGATTGCATTGAATCATGCGGTGATGATGCCGAATGTTATGATAGATGTATTGACAACAACTGGCCCGGTGTTTCAAGCACTACGACAACTACTCGCGCTACTGTCAGAGAAACGACAACAAGAACAGAGGCTAGAACCGCCAGTACTACTACTACGGCTAGAATAAGTGCTTCTACTACCTCTTCTATTGCCTCTATTTTGACAAGCTCTTCATCTGTTGTCAGTAGCTCCTCTGGTTCATCGGCAATTGTACCTACATCGTCTCCTGCATCTGTCTCGTTCCCATCTGTAAGCAGCACTGTAGTTATCTTGCCAAGTACTGCCAGCAGCAGTATGCCCGTCAGCAGTGCTCCTGCTTCTAGTTCCATTTTTTCATCTATCAGTTCAGTTGCCTCATCTGCTGCCGCTACTGCTACAACAAGTGGAAGTGAATCAAATTCTGTCAACTGGGCCAGTCAAATGACAAAGATGACAGTTGCCGCGGCTTTTGGCCACGCTGTCTTCTATTTCATGTGGAACTAAAGCTTTTATTAATATATAATCCTTACGCTTAATTGCATCAAATATATCTTTAATAAAGATGTACATAATATTTAGTAAAAAAAGAAGACATTTAGATGCATTTCTGTTGTTTCCCTGCATAAATTTTACCTTCTTAAATCCATTGCATTCGAGCGAGTATTATATTATCCCGTATAAAAAGCCTTAAAATAAAGGGGACAGTAATAAGAAAGTATGTATATTTTCGTAATCAATACAATATCTTTCAAATTTGTCTCAAAGCATGACAACCCTGAATGACATCCGATAAGTATTTCCTTTTTTGAAAGAACACCCGCTTGTTGGGTTTAAAGTGGTTTATGCAGTGCACTTTATTTCTATTACTGAACTGGGGAATCTAATTATGATATAATACATTTGCTGCCCTTTGACCTTGGTTTATATGTCTCAATGTATCTGAGCTGCTTCTTATTGATGGCTCCTCTACGACGTTCTCGTATATACACAACCGCATCCAGTGGTGGCATACCATCCTCGATCAAAGCGATGGCCACAAGTACAGGTGCCCTAATTGAACCTTTTAATACATTCATCTGTCGCTACACACATATATATATATACACACACAAAATAACAACTACCTTCCCAAACCGGCTACACAATGGATAGCAATGCAAGGTGATAATTCTTCCTTGTCGTCCTGCTTTTGTTCAGCATTCAAGAATCTATCGTCAATTAAATGAAGCCACGCATCAACAATACCTGCAGGTGGTGGTTCACCATCCACAAAGACAAAATCGTGAACTTGGATACCAATCTCGCTCAATGGCTCCTTTGGATATGTTGCTTCACAGCATCGTACGACATCTGTCACGTTCCATCGTTTGAATTCCTACCCTATGTGAGTATTCATCCCATAATAGTTTCAATGTTGCCTCACCTTTAGATAAAGTGGTAAGTTATTTGCAGAAGGTGCATCAACGATCAAGAAACGGAGTCCATTGTGTTCAATAAAAGTAGGAGGGTTGATTAAGGGCCTATTGGCCGTTGTATTAAAGGGGGAATGTGCCCGAGTATACATTGGTTAGAGCAAAAGGAGAAGAATTAAAATTGAAAATATATAAAAAAAGTAGAAGGGGGAGGTGAGATGAGGTTTTCTTTTTCTTTGTGTAAGTGATATAAAGCGTAATATTAGACTATATGCAAAACTAGATGTAAATTCTATAATAAAAAGAACCCCCTCGTTAGCAGTAGCAAATAACACAAGCCTTTGCCTCTTTACTTTGATTAAGGACACAACATTTACAAATTAGCCTGGATCAATCATCAAGGAAAGAAAAGAAAGAAAAAGGCTTCCCCCTCTCTCTCTTTCTTTCAATAACTCTCCAAGTTGAGATTTAATCTGGTCAGGTGATTCTCGTTGCTTTAAAAATGCAATCGGGACATTAAAAAATAGAGTGGTTTCTTTTTTCTTTGTGTATTTCTTCACTGTTGAGGACATGAATAAAGAACATACCCAACCATCGATGGGTGCGGTTGTCAAGGAGAACATCAATAAAGGGGATATAATCGAGAATAACACTCAACCTGCATACTCATTGTTCTTACAAGAGTATAAAGAGTCTGTCAAAAGAGACGTCAGCCAACAAGATATTTTGAAAAAATGGAACCAACTTTCTGAAGAACAAAGGAAACCTTACATCGAAAAGGCTCAGTCCAATGCAGCCAAATCTAAAGCCATCGTCCACACAGTCTTTTTATCCTTACTTGTTGACTTGTTTGCATTCACTCTTATTCTTCCACTCTTCCCAAGACTATTAAACTACTACCGAGTCAATGGAAAGGAGGTACGTGCTGCTGGTTCGTTACACAAGTCACTTATACCCTCTTCAGGAAATAGTGCTAAACTATGCCTCACAACTATTGGATAGATTCAAACAATTAACAAACAATCACACAGGTTCTGACAAGTGGGATACAGTACTCCTTGGTGGCCTCATAGGCTCATTGTTTTCCTTTCTTCAATTTATCGTATCCCCCATTATTGGACGTGCTAGTGACAGAATAGGCCGACGTAGGGTGTTATTGTACACGATGGTAAGAAAAGAGAATTACCATTATCACAATTAACATATATTGTCATAGGTTGGCAATATTCTGTCTACTCTGATCTGGCTTTTTGCTCATTCATTCAACCTGTTCTTAATAGCTCGTGTCGTTGCTGGTCTGAGTGAAGGCAATGTTCAATTAAGTACAGCGATCATCTCTGACGTAACAGCAGCCGATCAAAGATCTAAAAACCTGGTAACAAGCTTTACTTTATGTACGACATCAGTTTATTCACACACACATTTTTATGTAGGCACTTGTAGGCGTCGCCTTTGCAGTTGCTTTCACACTCGGTCCTCCTATTGGCGCATGGTTCGCTTCGATCGACCTGTCTGTCCTGTGCCCTCCTCTTGCCCGATTCGGCATTTACCCTTACTCCATGGCTGCATTGATCGGTCTAGCTCTATTGGTAGTTGAAACCGTGTATCTTTATGCTAAATTACCCGAAACGGTGCATAATCAACAAAGAACTCAGCCAGAGACAGAAGTAAATACAGTACAGACTGCATTACTTGATATCCAAAGACGACTCTCGACCTTGATCACCCTCAAGCGTCTCATGGGCATCTTTTCGTTTGTTTTTTCCGGCATGGAATTTACTTTGGTCTTTTTGACATTTGACGTCCTCGACTTTAGCCATATGCAACAGGGTAAATTGTTAAGCTACATGGGTATTGTGTCTGCACTCATTCAAGGAGGTTACGTCAGACGAAGTGTTCAGAGAGTGGGTGAAAAGAATATCGTCATTCAAGGCATGATCATGGGTGTCATCGGCTTTTACTGTTTGGCAGTGACTGCAAATGCACCACATCCCTTCTTATGGTTGTATATTGGCGCTACCTGTCTTGCCTTTACCTCTGGAACCGTCGTGAGTGGCCTGACGGCCTTAGCGAGTCTTCAGTGTCACGAGACAAGGGACGATTATCTGTCAAAAGGTAGAGCTCTTGGTGGATTCCGAAGCTATGGACAGTTGGGAAGAGCATTGGGTCCGATCTCAGTGTGCGCCTTTTATTGGATGTTTGGTCCTGAAAAATGCTATGCCGCAGGATCGCTCATGATGATGGCTACCACCTGGTTAACCCTACTTGGTATACCTAATAGAAGAATATCCAATATTCATAAAAAATCACAATAATGTTCATTAGAAAATAAAAAACTTTTGCTTTTATTCAAAGTTCTGTTTAATGTTTAGCCTTATTGAAACTAGTGACGAAGTGAATAAAGACCATGTACAATAGATAAAAGAAATAACTTACATAGTTGCTGGGAACAATACCCGTAGTACCATCTTGTTTGCGTGCTTGCCACCAGTTTCCACGCTTATCCAAGATTTCGAGTAATTCGCCCTTTTCAAAGGAGAGCTCTGAAGGATCATCCGCGCTACCCTGATCTGAATTATTTTTTAATTTTTTTTTTTTTAGTGTTTCATTCATGCGAACTTACATCCATGTAAAGCAGTAGCAGGCTCGAATCGGTTACGAGGTGAAGCAGCGACACCGATGTCTTCTTCTTCATCGTCAGCTCTATTAGTATCGTTGTTGTTGTAATGGCGAGGTAATTCTTTCTCGCTCATAGCGCCGCCCGTATCACGCGTCTGACGGTTTGGACGAACTGTATTGACAAACCGATGAGAGAGGTCACCTCCGTAGCTCATGGATCGAGTACCGAACGAGCGGAACCATGAATCCTCTGGAGAGGTCAATAAGAAGGCCAAAAGGAACTATATAAATCATGTTATGACAAGTAATGCAATCATAAGCTCCCTCTACTCACCTGCATGATGATCAAAATAATTGCACCAGCAGCCGCAGCCCTATTACCGCTGCTCACGTTCACGTCAAAAAGAGTTGCTTGACAGACGTAGGTCAAGTACACGATACTGATCGCCAAGAAGAGATAGACCTAGACAACATCTTAGTGTCTACATGCGCTAAAACAATGAGATGTACCATGTTATGATAAGAAGGAAGCAATCCTAATCCGAGTACAACCATGATTGCAACCACAAAGACCAATTCATAAATGATGATCCACCAGATCACACCATGAAATTGAGCCACACACCCACCAATGAATAAAATTAACCAAGCAGCCTATATACATATTAAAACACCATGTGTATCTCATGGTTGATACAACTTACAGCAGAAAGAGCGCCAGTGGTGGCAACAAAGGGATTAGTCAAAGATAAATTATAATCTTCCATTATTAACGAAAAGTATACAAAGAAAAAACAAAAGAAAAAGAAAACAGCTATGGATGATAGATAAACGTAGTCTACAACTGGGGGTTCACTCATATAAAAAAATCATATCAAATCAAGTTCTTTTTGTCTCAAATATCTGTCTTTATTAACAAGAGTTTTTGTTACGCTCCCCCCATGCTTTTGTACAAAAGTGGTGTATTGCGTAGAAACAAATAAGAAAAAAGTTTAGCGGTACTACAACATAATCCATGTCAGTTCTCACAATGATTCTCTATTTATATTTTTTTTTACCTTGTGGAAACCAATGTCGTTGGCGTATTCACGGAAACATTGACGACAGATGTTCAAGTTGTACTTGCGAATCAAACCAGCACGGTGAGCACAGACGCGGCTATCACACACGGTAGTTAGAAAAGTTGTTCATGTCACAAGCCACATTGCAATGTCATTTTGTGTCTTTTTTGTTGTAGAGGTCGCTGTGTCTTTTTTCATAGTTTATAATACGTACCATTGACGAGAGCCCTTACCAAAGGTCTTGGGGTGAGAGTTCCAAACGTTACTGTGAGCCATGGTAATGTATTACGAACAAAAAGGAGGAAGAAGAGAAAGATTCAAAAAAAGTATTTAGGTACACTTAATGTTACTGATCTCCTCTCAAAAAATTTTTCATCCCAGGAAATAATATAAGCCACAGACTCATTTCAAGCACCATCCGGAACAATGCACTTGGTTATACAGTATTTCCAAAAATTATTGACACTGATGCCAAGAGTAAAATTCGCGTTTGTTAAATTCTATTGTCACGTAAACCATTGGCTGATTTCGCTTGTTGACAAATTGAATGTCGTATATGTAGGAGCCCTGTCGTACAAAATATGAGTATATTAAGCACGAAAGCACCGTTAGCTCTTTTTTTTTCTTTTTTCTTTTTTCTTTTTTTTCTTTTTTTTTTTTTTTTTTACTTCCTTTCTCATTAAAAACCGAGTATTACAATATGAGCTTTCAAATTTTCTACGAAGACGGGCACAGTAATGCAGTTGATGAATACGGTAGACCTGAGCCTATGGACTATATCATTGACGAAGAACGATATGCTTTAGAAACAGTTAGTTCACACACTCAGTATTTGTATAATCAGCCTCAGGAGAATTATTTCGATGTAGGCTCTGTGGCAGATGAAAATGCAAAAGATGACCCAGATGTTTGCATGAAGGAGGCGTCGAGTAAGCGAGCGTACACACTATACGGATCAAGACAAAGTTAGATTCTTTAAACTGATGTTTGAGAAAGCTATGAGTGCTTCAGCTGCTGCAAAACAATTAGGTATTCATGTTCGTACAGCTCAAAGATGGGCTCAAATGTACAAAACGGATCCTGATAGTGTTTTTATAAAGCGTAAGAAAACCGGTCGCTCGCGTATACTTCAAGAAGAACACAAGCAAGTGGTCTTGGAGTATATAGATGAGAATCCTTCAGCCGTCTTGGAGCAAGTGATGGAGCGACTACTTCAAAATTTTCAGGATCTCAA